GGCACGGCACTAGCCCGTTTTTTTTCGTTTTCTTGATTTCGACAAGCTACAAGACGATGTCATATCGTGAGCGACAATCGTTTTCCACCAGTTTTTGTCGCTTACCCACCTCAACGTTTTGTGGAAACGAGCCGGTGGCGCGCTTAAATCCAGCCTCACGACACGCCCCATCATCCGCAGCGAAGGACACTGTAGCTGGACTGGTCAGGAATGCGAAATTCAAGCCATGATTGCGAATAGAACATTCATTACTGACGTTAACGCCGAGGATTTTTGTAATCAAGGCATAAAATTTCCCAACTGGCAAAATTTTCGAGGTGGTTACTGATGTATAATGCTGGAAGGACACATCGAATATGTCCCCCTTTTCGACGTCTGACCCCTCCCCCCCCGTCATCAGCAGTTAGCAAGGACTCTGTGATTACAACCTTGCAAAGAATAATATTGCCCACTGGTGCGACCTCCCCGAATATGGCGGCAGCGATTTGCGCTCGGTTTCCAAGCCATCTGTCGTGGGTTTGAAAAGGATGAGCTAAAATTCAATGACGCCTCACAGCCTCGTCTTTCCCGTTGCCAGGTCTTTTCAACAGTCGGAGAACGCTTGGTATTCCAAGCGCGGTTGCGTCTTTGACTGGGTGACCCTTTTTGACTATGGTTGACTACTTTACGACCATTTTTATGACACAGGTGAGTTGGTTTCTTAGGACATGGGTGGCTGCATTTAGATATTTATTTATTTTGAAATTTTGTTGTGTGTTTCAAGGTACAGCATCGTGATGTATGGAATGGGTGTGTCAGTGGGATCCTCTGCCGTCCCACTCCCGAAATTCCCGGGTCTGGTACAATGGTTATGCCCATCATTCCACCTACAACGTTCCGTGAGTTTTCCCCAATCCCCTTCTCTGATGAGATCCTCCAAACGATGCTGTACCGTGAATGAGGACCATCTGAGGCTTGAGTTTGCCCTAATTTGCGCTCAATCTGCCGTAGCAATGTAGCGAGCCATTTCGCGAAATCCAGCGAACTAGACGGGGAATGAAATCGGAAGAGTACCCTCTAGGAGTAAAGCGTGGGAGAAAAAGAATGGTTCGAAAAGAAGAAATTTGAAATTTAACTTTCCCTAACCACGATGTACCCTGATTCTAATAGAATCATTCAGGTTTGCATACGGACAGGCGCTCTTCGGCTCGCGGGGGGGGGGGCAAGGGGCATTTTGCACGTCCGCTGTTTCCCGCTGTCCTGTCGAGCCATCAAGCAGAGATCTATAGAATCTTGTCAAGCTGTGCAGTACTACTAGTTGAACTTTGTAGAGCCACTTGTCAACTCTTGCGTCCTGAACCTGCTCTGCGCCCCAAACTTGATTTGACTCATATCTCCTTAAAAATCCTAGACTTCCATCCGAGCTGTAGGCAAATTATCGATGAATGCATTCCAATCTGTTTCATTCCCATTTCGATTCCAACAAGGAATGGGCTTCCTGGACTGAAAAGGATTGCCTAATCTCAACAACTTCCAGCGGTCGAGTGTTGTTGTGCAGTAAAATGACATTACTGCCTACCTAAACAGCTTCTATTGGTAATCACCGCACTCGAATGGGTTGTTGTCGGCAGAGTAGGCTGTTCTGGTCTGGGTAGGTCATGGCGTTCGAAAAAATTGGCCATTCAGTACGATCAGTACGATTCAGAGCACGCCATCGTTGTGATGATCACAA